GTGTGTGTGTGTGTGTGTTTGTGTGTGTGTGTGTGTGTTTACCATACGAAGAATCTGGAAGAACACCCTCTTTGTGCCAATTGTGTTGAGATATCCCAATGGTATAGGGCCAAGTGATTACCAGTTATACAGGTGTAATGTAGGGAATGTAAAACYGAAAACTGACTGACAGATGAGGAAAAGATTTAAGTTTTGAATTGCATACCTGCAATCTGTTTCTTTAAGCAGAAAGGGATTTTGGAAGAAAARCACTTTTCGGTTCAGAATAACAAGTCAATTTATCTAAAAGAAAAAAACATATTTCTTCTGGTATCCACAGACAGATTTGAAAACTGAATGGTAGCATCTTTTTGTGCCTGTAGCTGCTTTCAGGTAGAAACATTTCTACCAACGACTACAGAAATGCAGTTTAATTTTAAAATGATTAACTTTTGTTTAATGAATATTAAAGTGTTATAGGGTTGCTGCAGAGGTGGGTACATAGTGAGCCAAGGCAGGTATGATCTGGACGGTTGTGGGCAATAAAATAATGTGCACAGCTATTCGGTTAACTAAAGCAAAAGCATCGGCTTTGCAAGCCAGGTGCACAAAAATATGTTGTGATTTTCAACAAATTGTCCCTGACCCTACAACTCACCTGGTTGAAAATACTCAGAATTCAGTGAGACTGTAACAAAATATTTGCATATTTTTCACAATACGAGTCAAGTTTGTTTTGCAAACTCATCTCCAACAGTTCCAGCCAGAGGTGGGACCAAGTCATTGTTCTGCAAGTCTCAAGTAAGTTTCAAGTTTTTATCCTCAAGTCCTGAGTCTAGTCTCAAGCAAAGACAGTCAAGTCAGAGTCAAGTCTCCTATCAAGACAGGTAAATGTCAAATCGAGTCCCAAGTCTGAAACTTAAAATTTCAAGTCCTTTCAAGTCTTTTTAACCGATGTTGTAGTTATATGTTAAATGTAAATAACAAACCGTGTGTTCTTTTTAAAATTTGTATTTATCTCAAATCATGACTTAATGTGCAGCTGAACTTACAAAGTATTTAAAAAATCATTATAAAATTGCACCTCTATACTGCACAGTTCAAATAAACTTGGCAGCAAAAATAGTCTTCCTTTATAGTTTTCGATTTTTTAAAATATCGAATTCATTTGATTTGCTGTGCTGCAGCTCTCACACATATATGTACAGAGATTAAAAATAAAGACGGATGGTCTGCTTSGTTAATGTGGAGTTAGTGAAATGAATTAATGGGGCACACTTTATAAATAACTTGTTTTAAACTTTAAATTTTGGGTAAAATATCAAGTCTTTTGAAGTAAACAGGGTCAAGTCCAGTTCAAGTCCCAAGTCATTGGTGTAAATATCCATGTCAAGTCACAAGTCTCTGAACATCTTTTAAGCCTAAAGTCATAATATTAATGACTTGAGTCTAACTTGAGTCAAGTCATATACTCAAGTCATCACCTCTGGTTGCTGCTCTGTGAACAACCACCTTAATGGCTCAAAATAATCAAAACGTTAAAATCACTATTGAGAAGAGCTACTGAACAGGCTATTGTGATGATATCAATATCATTATAATACAGTTTTCCATAATAAAGTTGGAGTTTATCATTTTACAAATGAAAAAAAAGTATTTAGAAACATGTTTATATGTGCTTCATATTGAAGAATATAGAATACATCCTGTATAATTGTTAATTTGTATTCACTCTATGGATCCCAAAACAAAAACCACAGTATTTAATGAGCTGTAAAATCCTTAAATTGCTTCTGTTTGCAAAAATATGGATTTTTTTATTTCTACTTCAGTTTTTTTTTTTATAAATCTAAACAGGATTTTTTATCTTATTGCATATTTGTTAAAACGGATCAATTTATTTTACTATAGAGTACATTACTTTTCATTCTGTGGATAGTGAGTAAATCAGTGTGTTTTTTTAATTATTCATGAACTTACTGTTGGGTAAAGAGCAATATCAGATTTTCACTAAAATGATGTAAAATACCATTTTAAGATGCCACTTCTAGCTTTAAGGAATTGTCATTAACTGAAACTATGATTTGTCCACCTAATTGAACAAATATGTTTGAAGAGTACAGTAAATTGCAGCTGTAAAATGTAAATCTAAAAATGTGAAGAAGGAAAAAAAAGATCTTGTCTGACTTCAAAACGTGCTCACAAGGCTCTGCTGTCTGGTCTGTTTAATGGCTAAAGACAGCAGTTTGAAAAATGCCTCTGTTTTATGCTGTTGGATGCCTGTATGTTTTATGATGTTGGCATACCTGGGACGCTTAAAACCCAAGCCCACAGTGTATGTGTGTATATATAGAATATGTCCATAGTTTCCATGTCGGATTATAAACACGTAAAACCTCATCACATCCTGCTGAACCTGTATGAGATCAGAGTCTGTGCAGCTCTTGGACTGTCACTCAAACGCAGATACTTGATGTGGGCAGGGCTGTGAAAACTCAGAAATCTGGCAACTGGAATGTTTTTATTTGCAGGGGGAAGCAGGATCTGTGTGTGTGTGTGTGTGTGTGTGCACGTGCATGTATGTGTGTGTTTGGGTTTGTGTGCCATATGCAGCGTGCCAGGGAGGGCTCTCTGGAACATATTGGTGTGCGTACATAGTGGTTAATAATAGTAGCAAACGCGTACAATGATGGCAGCTCTGATGTGTGTGACAGTTTTACAGCCACACACGCCAAGACTTAGTCACACATGTACACACACACATGCTGCCTTACAACACAGACCTCCTCTGCCACAGAACCCTCCATCTTTGTTGAGTTCTCAGTTTTATCACATCCTGATAAGAGAAAAAAAAAGYGCCACTTCCCACCCACCCCGCCTCGCCTCCAGCCCCTCCCTTATGCTCCATATGTGGACATATATACTATTACAAACATATAGCCCACTCAAACTCAGCCACCTACACAAACAGACATAAATGCATACAATGTAACCACTGAACGAATAAAGTCCTTGAACCAAGCAGGCGTTCAAATACATTGTACATTGAAATGCACAAATGCAACACTCATTCTGCCACAGCTCATTGTCACTGTTGGTTGCTTGTCTGCAGAAATGTTTGTGTTGTGCATGGGTGACAGATTTAAGTTTTGATGGGGAGGGGCAGGGGATCAGTGACTGCTCCCTGTGGTGAAGTCTAAGAGACAGTAGACAGCAGCCGTGGCAGACACCCAACCTGTCGTCCGGATCAGTCCATGAGGGGGGAGGCAGGGAGGTGGAAGAGGAGCAGCAGCATCACTCACAGCTCGGATGTGTCCAATCAGGAAAAAAAAAAAAGACACAAACCTCAGCTCAGTGGCCGAGCTTGGCAAGTAAACGAAAGAGGAAGAGGGAGACCGCAAGCGAGGCCAGAGCATAAGCAAAGAGCTACCGGGCACCCAGGATTAGTCTTTGAGCTTGGCAGACTCTGACCAGAACTGAAGGAGAGGTAGCAGAAAGACAGACTGTAAAGAAAGGACCTGGCACCTTTTTCCGGGCCAGGTTAGTAGCCAGAGAGAAGAGGAGAAGGAGCGACAGACAGATCAGGGACCCGGGGAGCGGTTGCTGTGTGGCTGGTCTGGAGTGGCTCACCCATATGGTGCTCCGCACTGTTCATGCTCCCTGTCTAAACCCATATGCCGCTGGTGGGGGAAAAAAAAGCCCCCCTCCTCTTCTTCCCTACYTCGCTTCAAGAGCATGCAGAACCACAAGGGAGGTGTTGGGAGGTAAAGCCCTGAAGGCTTGTACCCCCCTCCTACCTCTTAACCCCACCGAGCTGCTTAGCCCATTGTCACTACAATCTGCCACCATAGCCTTGGTGTTGTCTCCCCCCCACCCCCCCACACACTCTTGCCCTCTTTTTCTTTTTTGTTCTCTCTCTTTCTTAGCCCTTTCATCTCCCTTTGGCACCTGATAATCGATGAACTTATTAACTGCTAATTATTCAAGCTGTGGATCGAGGATCCCTCCCTTATTCTTGGAAGAAAGAGGATGTTTCCACTCTGTTCTGCCAAATAAAGTGGTTTATATTGCCCATTCATTTGGATTAAGTGCTTTTAGCAGCACTGTTTGGGATGTTTAGACTTCATCAGATTGCTATCAGTAGCATTTAGCATTAATCCCCATTTTGTTCAGCTTGTTGATAGCCTAATTCTAACCCACTTGGCGGAAGCCCAAGAAATTTACATATTAAAACACACAATCGTATTCATTTTATCTATGATGTGATTGTCTAACAATGTTTCTTTCTCTGTTCTTGTTTTTCAGGAGGTCCTTAAGACAATACCAAAGTTCTGCTTTCCCTTTGACGTGGAAAGGTGTGATTCCTCTTCCTTTCTGCTTCCTTGTTTTTGCAAGTGCAGCTTGCCTTGCCCCTCATTTGTACAGAATCCAATCACACATACATCTCAAATGATCACCTCTCAAACCTGAAGACGCGTTCATCCGGAGCAGGAAATGAGACGTATATATTATGCTTCTCACAGTTCTCGTGATGAGCTCTAAACTCCAATCACTCATTGGTATTGTCACCTGCCAATCTGCTACCTGTCAAAGTGCAACGATGAGAGCTTTTATCACAGTCATGTCCAAAGCACTTCAGTTTTCACAGCAACTGTAAAAAACAACAGTGTGTCAACATTAATATGACAACTGTGATAGAGTGAYGTGTTGAAGATGAGAGTAACAGTTGCCATTAGCGATGATGCTGATGAGGTCATCCAAGATCGCCACTCAAAATATTGTGTGCGAAACTCATTTTTGAGTGTTCTGACGAAAATCAAAGAGAGCCTGTTTTCATTTAGGCTCTAAAGTCTGATCAGACCATTTGAAAAGTTGTGTTTATTGTTATTATTCACATGCAGAATGACAGGCAAATTTCCCATCTTTAAGACTGAGAGAAAAGATGTGTAGGCAGGAAGTACGCCAGCTTTTTACTGAAGCTGAGCTGCTGCCATCTAGTGGTAAACATGTGCATTTAACTAAATGTATTAAGGAATAGCTTTGTTTTTATACATCTTTAAACTAGCATTTGTTTGACATCAGTTGTGAATCTCATCTGGATGTTGAGCTCATTATGGAAGCTAAATCTCAATGAGAAACCAGAGCAGCTCAAACAAGTTAAATCTCTTTAACGATTTATTTATTGCCCCTCATTTTTACCCTTTGTTTAAAAAAAGACTTAATTACTTTCTAATGCATGACTATGTCTTTACCAGGGTTTCCCAGAATCAGGTGGGGCAGAATTTCACTTTTGTTCTCACGGACATTGACAGCAAACAGAGGTTTGGTTTTTGTCGACTCACCCAAGGCTGCCGGGTCTGCATATGYCTCCTCAGGTAACACTCATTCCCTATTTTTTCCCCCTATAAAATTTACCTTCAGTAAGAGAATTATCTTATTTTTATATGTTGCAGTTCTTTTTTTTTCCTCTCTTAAATTTTAGTAAAAACAGTCTATAAATTAGCAAATGTCAGAATAAATCCAACAGGATGTCTTTTAAAGTAGATGGTGCAGTCAAAAATATTAGTATACTTTTTCAAATTTACTTAATTAAATGCATATATATATATATATATATATCTGGATTTATGTATCACAGAAGATAAAACAAGAAAAAAAATTACCTGATCTTAGAAATAAATGCAGCTTTTGGAGACAACCTTTTCATTTATTCTCACGCCTCACTCTGAGCTGCACTATGCCAGAATAACAAATTTATATTCTCATCTGCCCACACAAATATGTTACTGAAGTGCCTATAATTATCCAAAAGTTTAGCAGTTTTTTTGATATTTCATAGGTGAATGTCTTCTATCACAGCACACATAAATGAGGACACAAAACCTGAGAAAATTGTATTTTCTTTGCATAATTATGCTCCAAAAAAGGCTATTATCTGTTAATTACCAAGTTTTTTTTTTTTTGTTGTTGTTAAGGCAGTGCTTTTACAGATGTAATTACCTAACCAATCACAAAGAATAAGCACCCCAGTGAAACTCTCAGTGGACATGCTCATGCACTTTCCTATTAACTGAGGAACAATGTAAAAAAAGACAAAMAAAATAATGAATGTAAWAAGCAGTTTAACAAACAACAAATTAGAAAAGCAGCACAAAGCTTTTCTCTGTTGTGTGTTTGTGAAACAGGGCTCCTGTAAGGCTCACTGTCGTGTGTGTGTGTGTGTGTGTGTGTGTGTGTGTGTGTGTGTGTGTGTGTGTGTGTGTGTGT